AGAGACGAAAAGTAGATAAATTGAAAGTTATGTCTAGCAATTACGGTTTTTTTAGTATTTTGGCTTATTCACGGATGATCTCGGTGAATTAATATCCACCTTTTAGATAGCTATAGTTTCAAGGTTTACGGTTACCAAAAGGATTTTGGAAGCTATTTGGAAGCACAAAGGTTCATTATAAATTTTGTCTCATTTACATCCACTTAACCCACGTGATCTTTTTTTTTTTTAATTTTTTTAACGTTTTTATTTATTTTTGAGACAGAGAGACAGAGCATGAACGGGGGAGGGGCAGAGAGAGAAGGAGACACAGAATCGGAAGCAGGCTCCAGGCCCTGAGCCATCAGCCCAGAGCCCGACGCGGGGCTCGAACTCACCGACCGTGAGATCGTGACCTGGCTGAAGTCGGACGCTTAACCGACTGCACCACCCAGGCGCCCCTAACCCACGTGATCTTAATAATTATGCTTGGCGTGTTCATGAAAATTTCATGAGGCTTTAGACAAAACTAGCCATTACCTTCAGTTGCTTTCTTGTTCACAAATTTTGTAACATGGGCATGAGAGGCAAGCATCAGAAACCACAGAAGTAAAAAACTTGAAAGTTAAACATATAACTCTTCCTGCCTACTTGTTTTCTGACATGAATCAAGCTGTTTATTTTTATTATACATTTTGTTCTTAGAATGCTTTTATAATTTTATAATCTCAAATATGTAATAGCGATAACATCAGCTTATTTTACTAGCAAACCCAAGTAGAGTGACTATGTATCCATTTAACCAAAGTGACAATAAGCGATTTTGAAGGTAAGTAAAAGCAACATGGTTTATATTAAATTATTTTAATGTTTATTTATTTCTGAGGCAGAGAGAGACAGAGCATGAGTGGGGCAGGGTCAGAGAGAGAGAGGAAGACACAGAATCAGAAACAGGCTCCAGGCTCTGAGCGGTCAGCACAGAGCCCGACGCGGGGCTCGATCTCACGGACCGTGAGATCATGACCTGAGCCGAAGTCGGTCGCTCAACCGACTGAGCCACCCAGGCGCCCCAACATGGTTTATATTAAAAAAAAAAAAAAGCTTTAGGGTTTTCCATATTGAGGAGAAATGATTTTATATATAATGCAGACAGCTTTGAAGACATACATGTTTTAGCTAAACCAACAGCATTAAATTAGCCTTATTCACCAAAGATTATTCCTGAAAACCACATATATTATGACAAGGGGGCGTAGGGCAGGCTGAAGACACAGTGTAGGCTAACAGCACCCCCCCCCCCAAGGTGGGGTATGTGTGCTATTTCTTGGACACTCCCAGCTGCCCCAGAACAGGGGAAAGGAAAGAAAACAGATGGTTGACTGATGGAGATCACAGTCGTGCAGGGCAGGAGCCTCCTTCACTTTACGGATAACTTAGTAACTGCAAGAAAAAGGCAATCTGATCCATAGCTTAATCTCCAGAAACCTATAGACTCCATTTCCTGGAGCCCTAATATCACCCTCATCGAGATGTAAGGGGGTTTAAGTGCTTGTCGTGGTGATGTGGGGAACAGAGGCAAATGAAAAATGAAATTCCCTTACCGCCTACAGCCCAGTGACGCGTCCTTGAAACAGGCAGGGTGCCCTCCCTCTAGGAGCTCAGATGCATCAATGATGACACTTTGCTACGGGCAAAAGGGACTCTAAGCTTAGCATTATCCTGGCCTCCCCGGGGTCCTGTAAGTCTACTTTAACATGTAAAAATTCCTTTGGAAACTTCCTTTATCTCAACACCCCCAAGATATATGCTGGCAATCATACTCCAAGCTTGTGCCCCCCGATACACATCTGAAGGGTCTCATGACTGAGGTTTTACTAACAGGTAATAAGTGGCGTTTTCCTAACAATACCTAACCTCTCAAGGTTCTGGAAACCTTGCTTCCAAAATACTCTAGAGACTTACTCTATCCGTAACCCCTCCCAACCTGAAGGTATGTAATCAGTTACCCGTCACAACCCTGGTGAAGCTCTTTTTGCCCACGGATCCTGTCCCCCTGCTTTAATAAAATGACCTTTTTGCACTAAAGGTGTCTTGAAGAATTCTTTCTTGGCCATCCGCTTCGAATGCCACCATCACCCCCAAACTCCATCATATTAGTTTCCATATTCCTGAGAATTTTATGAATATTTCATTGATACAGGTACTTATTTTTTTCTAAGTAAGTTAACACAGAGCTCTTTTACAAGTTCATTTTGGTAATACCATCCACAGGTAGAAAAATACCACTACACATAACATACATACATATACGTTCATGACATACATGGAGATAGAGATCTTACAGTAAAATTAAACTATTGGGACTATACCAAAATAAATACAAAGCTTTTGCATAGCAAAGGCAACCATCAACAAAACAAAAAAGCAACCTGCTGAATGAAAGAAAGTATTTGCAAATGATATACCTAATAAGGCGTTAATATCCAAAATATACAAAGAATTTATACAACTCAACAAGAAAAAAAGAGTAATGCAATTAAAAATGGGTACAGGACCTGAATAGACATTTTTCTAAAGACATACAGATGGCCAACAGACACATGAAAAGATGCTCGATATCACTCATCAGGGAAATGCAACTTAAAACCACAATGAGATATCACTATACATCTGTCAGAATGGCTAAAATAAAAAACAAAAGAAATAACAAGCATTGGCGAGGATGTGGAGAAAAAGGAACCCTTGTGCACTGATAGCGCGAATGCAAATTGGCACAGCCACTGTGGAAAACAGCATGGAGACTCCTCAGAAAATTAACATTAGAATTACCATATGATGCAGTAATTCTTCTACTGGGTATTTACCCAAAGAAAAGAAAAACACTGACTTGAAAAGACATATTTACCTCTGTGTTTATTGCAGCATTATTTACAATAGCCAATATGGGGGGCGCCTGGGTGGCGCAGTGGGTTAAGCGTCCGACTTCAGCCAGGTCACGATCATGCGGTCCGTGAGTTCGAGCCCGCGTCAGGCTCTGGGCTGATGGCTCAGAGCCTGGAGCCTGTTTCCGATTCTGTGTCTCCCTCTCTCTCTGCCCCTCCCCCGTTCATGCTCTGTCTCTCTCTGTCCCAAAAATAAATAAACGTTGAAAAAAAAAAATTTACAATAGCCAATATGGAACCTAAGTGTCCAATGATAGATGGAACCCAATATGGAACCCAAGTGTCCAATGGTAGATGAATGGATAAATGGCCTTTCATTTCATTCATCACCATTCATGATGGATGAATGGTACAAATGCTATGGAATATCACTCAGCCGTAAAAAAGAATGAAATCTTGCCATTTGCAACAACATGGGTGGATCTAGAGGGTATAACGCTAAGGGACATAAGTCAGTCAGAGAAAGACAAATGCCATATGATTTCACTCATACGTGGAATTTAAGAAACAAAACAAACGAACAAATTAAGAAAGAGAAAAACCGAAAAACAGACTTTTAAATATAGAGAACAAACTGGTAGTTTCCAGAGGGTAGGTGGGTAGGGGGATGGGGAAAATAGGAGAAGGAGATTAAGAGTGTGCTTACCTTGAACATGAGTAATGTATAGAATTGTTGAGTCACTACATTGTACGCCCGAAACTAACATAACACCGTATGTTTATTATCCTTGAATGAAAAACAATGTTAGCCATGAGTCAGGTAAACACAGTAATACAAAGTCACAAGGTCCATATAAAATAGTTAGATCCGGGCGCCTGGGTGGCGCAGTCGGTTAAGCGTCCGACTTCAGCCAGGTCACGATCTCGCGGTCCGTGAGTTCGAGCCCCGCGTTGGGCTCTGGGCTGATGGCTCGGAGCCTGGAGCCTGTTTCCGATTCTGTGTCTCCCTCTCTCTCTGCCCCTCCCCCGTTCATGCTCTGTCTCTCTCTGTCCCAAAAATAAAATAAAAAAAAAGTTGAAAAAAAAAATAATAAAATAAAATAGTTAGATCCAATTTGTGTTTCTGGAAGACGGAACAAGTTAAGATTATCCACTCAATGACGGCTAAAACTTTTTACCAATATCAGTGGAGATTACTTTTAAGATTTTCCCCGATACGTAATCTAATGGAGACTGTGAATTAAACTTTGGGCAAGGAACCTTTTGGAAATGCCAAGTGGCTGTCTGGACGTTTTTAAAGGTCATATGAGTGGGTAATATATCTAATTTGTTTCCAAGTAGCACCTTAAAATTTTTTCCAAATGTGTACCTATTCCAAATGTGACTCAAAACTAAAACCAATAAGCTTTTTTTTTTTTAATAGCTTAACCACGAACGCAAGAAGGTGCAAACGATATGGTGTACAGTCACTTCCAAAGTGACTAGCCGAACACAGTGACAGCTGACAGTGGTCAGCAGGACATCAGGAAGTGGGGGTCCACCTCCCATTCGCAATAGAGCCCATCACAAATTCTCAGTGCCCCCAACCTCACAATAAACAACCTCAGGCCCGACAGGCGGACCGCTGGCAGGTCGAAAGCTAGGGAGATCCAAGCCAAGCTCTCAGGATACCAAACGAGGCAGAAGGAGAATGTTACCCTGTGATTCGCCTCCTTACGGCGAATGACACAAACGACATAAAAAGGAAAACAATGCTGTCCCTGGAAGGAAAAGAACCAATAACCAATGCGGACCCCAAAGCGAGAGTCACCCTAGAGGGATGTCCAGAGAACTAGCTCCTTCAAGTGGTTTCTCCTGCTGATTTAGATTTAGACGCGACGTGCTTACTGCCCTCCTGTGCCTGGACTCTGAACAGAAGTCAGAGAGGCCTGCCGTGGTAAGGATTTTTGCCTTTTCGGCTTAGATGTCTCCAGGCTCAGCTACAGCCCCCCCAAAACCCCCCCAGGAGAATGGCAGGCCCACGCCATCCCATGTGGGTCTCCAAAGCTGCAACGCGAGGAAAAATGCTTTTTCTCTCTCCTCTTCATTTCAGTAGCTGGAGTATGAAAATGAAAGAGAGGAAGAAAAAAAAAAGCCAGATTAACAGGAGACACTGTTTATTTCACATGTGCACAGAGGCTTCGCAGAAGAGAGGTGAAGGTCCACTGTGGGTTAGACCTGGGAGCTTATACACTGTTTTTAGAAAAGCACAGCCGACTGTGGAGAAGTGTCTACACAGAGGAAACGGGGTGTGGGCTTTGGGGCGGTGAACGGTGGGAAGGTAAACACATGGGGGGGAAACTCAATGAAAGGCCAGGGTTCTTTCAGCGAGGTTGCTTTATGCAGACTGAAGCCACGCCATCTCCCCATCTCCGTGACTAATTCTTCTCTTCCTAGGGCAGGAGAGGGGAGGGAGCCCCTCACAAAGGGGATTTTGTGCTCTGCTTCTCAGCAGATTGGGGGAAGAGCCGGAGCTCTGTTTGTTTGTGACTGCTGTTTCTGAATTGCCAGCAGCTCAAAATAATCCCCCTATTTGGGGGGTGGTCTCTTCTGACCCCCTTGCTGACCCATAGCAGGTGGCTTACGGGGCTGTTTGTTGCAGATAAGGGGGTGGTTCCCTGGGTGAGTTGTTGCCGGTTGGTTGCGAGTCAAAGTTCTATTTTTATCTGTGATCTGGCCATCGTTTGTGTATTCTGTCTCTTTCCCTCTTTGACTTTGTGATACCTGAGGACCTGGCAAAGATCGAAAGCGGCACCAGAAGCCCTTAAACTCCTTTGCGGTGGTCTGTCCCTACAAAATAAAAGGTTAAAAACATTAACATAATTGTAAAATAGAGAATTTAGTAACTGTTCACATAATTAAAGAAAAATTAACTTCAAACCCCACCAATATTTGTCTTGGAGCCTGTTTGGGTGGAATTATCGGGACAGTCATAATTCTGGAGATCTGAAACAACTCACAATCAACTTCCCCAGCATGTCGAGGACAAAGATCAAAAAAACAAAGTGATATTATTGTTGCTTCACCTGTCGCATAAAATATTGTGGTATTCGGTTCCTTAATGAGTGCCTCAGAGTTGTGTGTTATGATGAGAGATAATAAGATGACATCTAGAAGTTACTTTGAATTAAAAAGAAAAGTAAGATACTACCTTGAAATAAAGGCTTGTTATGATTTTATTGTAAAATTTTCTTTATCGCCTTTTGGAGCAAATCTATCGTTTGCGAGAATAATGGAATAGTCATTCACAGATCTCTGTGCAACAACATACAGCTGACAGTAAAATGCTGAGCTAAAATCTGTGTTGTGTATGATTATACATTTGAAAAGCTAAGATTTAAGAAGCTACAGTAAAGATCACATTGCATTAAAATTTTTTTTACTGTTTATTTAATTTTGAGAGAGAGACAGTGTGAGTGGGGGAGGTGCAGAGAGGGAGAGAGACACAGAAACCGAAGCAGGTTCCAGGTGTAAGGGTTAGATTGTAGCGTAGGGCTAACACTGTAGCTTGAGAAATAACAGCTTTGTTCTGACACTGAAGGTCAAGAGACAACAGCCTTGCTTTACTCTTGTAAATTACGCGTCATTCTCTTGTAAATCAGGCTTCACCAAAGAAGGAAACAAAAGCTCAAAGAAAAGAGCATCAGAGGCAGGGTCTAGGAGATCCACTGGTTGCAACTTAGCGGCAGAAAGTCTAAAATAATCACCTCATCCGGCAACTGTTTCTAACTCCTCTGGGAACTGTTTCTCTGTTCTGTTCCCAGGTGATGATAAAACGTGATCGGCCGTAAAAACTCTGTACCCCGGCTGTTGGAGGCCACACTCTTATCAAGAGTGTTGGTCCCGATCGGTCGGCCTTGCCTCTCATTGGAATAAACTTTGCTGTGACTGTCACTGGCGCCCGTGGCATTCTGTTTCAGGAGTCGTGTGGATGCAACACAGGCTCTGAGCTGTCAGCACAGAGTCCGAGGTGGGGCTCGAACTCACAAACCAGAGAGATCACGGCCTGAGCCGAAGCCAGACACCTAACCCAGCTGGGCCACCCAGGCACCCCGATCACGTTGCATTTTATCAGGCATTCCGGTTGCTTAGGGTTAATGGGAGATGCAGTCAAGTGTTGAGATCGTTTTCCAGCGGACGAGTAGCATCGCTGACTCATTCAGGGAATGAGAAACAAGATCAGTTATAAAGTCCCTCAGGGATCTCGTCAAATGAAGGATTTCTCTCCCTGCGGTGAGTTGGTGCTCGCCAGGAAGGCCACGCAGCTCCGAGAGAGAAGCCCCTGCGCGCACTTGACTCTTGGCAGCCTCGGGTCACAGGAAGCGACCAAGCCACGGAGCTTCTCGGCGCAGTTCTGGAGGCTCCACTTGCAAACCTGTCCGGGGGCCACTAATTGGGGGGAAAACAAAGTCCCCGATTGGGCAGACACTTGAGTAAAAGAAGCAAGCCCTCGGGGCGCCTGGGTGGCGCAGTCGGTTGAGCGTCCGACTTCAGCCAGGTCACGATCTCGCGGTCCGTGAGTTCGAGCCCCGCGTCGGGCTCTGGGCTGATGGCTCAGAGCCTGGAGCCTGTTTCCGATTCTGTGTCTCCCTCTCTCTCTGCCCCTCCCCCGTTCATGCTCTGTCTCTCTCTGTCCCAAAAATAAATAAATAAATGTTGAAAAAAAATTAAAAAAAAAAAAAAAAGAAGCAAGCCCTCGTCAGAGAGGGAACATTCTTTGGGTGAGTTTCAATAGTTTTTGGACATCAAGAAATCCTGAAAAGCCTCCCATTATCTGCATTCCTTCCCCTGGGAGAAAGGCTGTTTTCTCCCAGAGGCCAGAATACAATAGGCCCTCCCTGTAAGATGCAGGGGTGAGCCCTTGGGATGGGGCAGGAGGCGGTGCAGGACGGAGGCGGCTTTGCTGCTCACAAGTCATTATTGAAGGCTGGTGTGTGCAGGCCCAACAGTGTCACGTGGCTAAGTGAGCGGGCGGGGTGCTTTCTGATCTCCTGAGTCTGGCGCGACGCGCACTGGGCGTGTTTCCCAGGACAGAGGGAAATGTCCGGCAGTTGAGATGCCCCAGACCAACCACCAAAACGAAGGGAGCCTCGCTGCATCCCCCGGGGACAGCAAAGTACCCCGCGGGAGGCCGGGACACGCTTAGAATACTTGGAGGGTGCTTCGAGGTGCTGAAATGAATAGGAGCTAATACTAAGTGATAAGAAACTCCACTGCTGTTAGCACTTAGCTTGCAAAACTCCTTCCCACGCATTGTCTCGCCAGATCTGCAACTCAGCCCCGTGAGTTTCAGTGGACAAATGCCGCCATCTCTGCCTTAAATGAGGACACTGAGGGGTGCTTGGGTGGCGCAGTCGGTGAAGCGTGGGACTCTCCATCTCAGCTCAGGTCGTGATCTCTTGGTTTCTGGGTTTGAGCCCCGCACAGGGCTCTGTTAAACAAATAAACAGAAAGAAAGAAGGGAAGGGAGGGGGGGGGGAGGGGGGGGGGGGGAGGGGAGGGAAGGGAAGGGAGAAAGAAAGAGAAAGAAATGAGGGAATTAAGGCTTGGAGCAGGTGCTAGAATTGCCCAAGGGGAAGTTGCCTCCTAATGGAAACAAAGTCTAACCACCGTCTCATGAAATCCAATACAAAATATTTGCTTTGTTTCTATTAAGTGTTAATTCCAGTACAGTTAACACACAGTGTTATATTAATTTCAGGTGTACGATTTAGTGATTCGACAATTCTGTACATCACCCAGTGTTCATCCCAGCAAGTGCACTCCTTACCCATCTAATTCCAAACTGGGATCTTGTTCAATGGCCATAAAATCTCAGCTTCTTTTTAACCTTTAAATCGGGAACTGAAAAATAATTGTCATGAAAGTGATCAAATAATGTAGCTAAGTATTTGAAAAACACATATTTTAAAATATGTGAACATTTTAGCCATTCTATTCAAGTCTTTTGACTATAATATTTGTGGAATTTTTATAATAGAAATGCCAATGTATCTGTTTTTTAAAAAATCCACTATCACGATAAAAAAAAATTAACAAATTATTTAGACCAAGCCAAATTCAACTCTTTATTAGCACAAAATAAATAGACCATTACTGTTCTGGTTATTTCTGTGCAAATAACCAAATTAGGGCAACTGCTTGACCATATAATTAATTGTTTGGGCTCAGCTGTTTCATAGCAGAAAAGAGCCAATTTAACATGATCGTTCTTGGAGGCATGCAAACGCATTGACAACAAATGCTACGTTTAAATATATATTTTTTTAACTTCCAGGAAGCCAAAAAGACAGTTTTCTGCGAATATCACGGTATTCCCTATAGAGGGAACTGTATCCATATTTATCCTGGAGCATCTCCTTACTGGAGCGGTCATTTGGCTATGATGGGAAATGTGGACACCAAAGCAAGACCAATCAGATAAGAACAAGCCAAACGCTGTTCATTCAGAGCTTGCTGTCAGCAAGCCACCGTCACTGACATTCGTCACGGACTTGACGTTAGGCACAGGAGAGGGAAAGCTTTACAGAAGAAAGAGGTTTCAGGCGTGCGCTGATTGGAGGCTGTTGACCTTGAGGAGCTGAAGTTGAGCTAACTAGAATTGGGGACCCTATTGATCGGTTAGGGGTGTGTTAGACTTTCTCTGGTTGGTCTTAAGTTGGAAGTGGGGACAAAAATTAGGAAAGCTACCAATTTGAATCAAGTCCTGGCTGTTGGGGGCTGATGGTCCCAGGGGCCATTGTTTGGCTTCCCGGGTTGTTACTGGAGATGGTGGTCTGACTTTCTACAAGCTGACGTAAAGGTGGCAGGCTAACTTCCTGGTCTGGTTGCTGCAGATGATGGGTCAGAGTTTTATTTTTAGATACGGTCTGACCATTCATTGTCCGTTCCTTTATTCACTCTCAGGGACCTGGAGACTCACTCTTATAAGAAAACCGTGGTCAGTAAAAACCGCTTTGGCAAAATTCAGTTCTCCTCTCAGGAACGGCGTGCTAATGACCCGGAGCTCCACATCCGCAGCAAGACCTTTTCCTTCCACACCAGGCTCACGGCCAACCGCCTGACACGTATTTCCACTCAAATACCTCAATTAAAATGTGTTCAACATGGAGCTCCTAGGATTCCCGCACAGTCTAGTTCCTTGTGGTTTTCTCTAAATGAGCCAGGGGCAGCTTCATTAAACCTGAAGTCACTTTTGAGGTGCTTTCTCTTACAGTCTGTCTGGAGGCCGTCCGCCCATGCTGCGAGCTTTACCGTCGGAACAGATCAGGGACCTGGACCCTTCTCCCACCCCAACCCCCTCGCAGGGACCGTCCCCTGCACGCTGGACCATTCCAAAATGGTCTCCTTGTTTCTCTCCCTAACTCCTGCCTCTCTTCGACATACTGTCTGAAGGCTATAGTGAAAACCCGAGTCACACACCTTGTCGTGCCTTTGCTCAAAACCCTCCGACAGTTTTCCCCTTTACTAAGGGTAAAAAGCCAAACTACTTACTTTAATCCACAAGCTCTACATGATCTGGCTTCCCATATCTCTGCTCCAGCACTCTGGTCTTCATATATTTCTCAAATACTCCTAGGGTGCTCCTGCCCCAGGACCCTTGCACTTCCTGTTTTTCTCGTCCTGGAACCCTTTCCCCAGATATCTGCATGCTGACCTTCTCTTTTCCCCCCAGTCTGTCATGGTGAGCTCCCGCCCTTACCTAAAATTTCAATATGCTCTTTCATCATCTAATATCCCCCCTCTCTGCTTTATTTTTTTCCCCCCTTACCACTCATTATTACCAATACTCTACATATTTTCCCTACTTACAGTGTTTCTTTTCTATTCCCCCAACAGTGATGGCAGCCGTTTTGTTTGTTTTACTCTACTACCAGAACTCCAGAGTCTAGAACAATGGGCATGGCATCTCAGAATTTTCCATTTTGCAAATCCAGAGACTCATCCCAGCAACTTGAGAGACTAGCTTAGTCAATGGCTTGGAAGTGACAGAATCTAGTCTCCAATGTCCATGCCCAAAGCTCCTTTGACCAACCTCTCAGGTCTTTCTGAAGACCACGTTTGTTTCCATAGTCAGTCTCATGGCTCTTTCCCACATAACTTCTAACCCAGGCTCTGACAATGACGGTCTCCTGGTAGTCTTCTGCCTCCAGTCTCCCTCGTCTCCAGTCCATCTTTCCCTGTTCAAAAACCTTTACTGGACTTCCCACTCTGGCTCCAGCTGGCATTCAAAGTCCGCCAAAGCCCACATGTGATCTACCTTCCCAGCCTCTTTGGAGACTCTACGCCCAGGTGGTGCCCATCCAGCTAGACCCTCCTTTTGCCTTCCACAGCTGCAAGACACACTTCCATGCCTCTGTGTCCTTATTCAGCTCCCTTGTCTAGAATCCCCTGCCATCATCTCCCACCATGCACCGAGGTCCTTTCTGGAAGCTTTGTACAGAGCCTTCATCAGAATGAGCACCTGGCTCGAGGAGGCCACATCACACCCTCTTCCGTCTAGAGCGGGTCTCGTGTTTATCCGTGAGTGGGTGTCTCTGTCCTTGAACACAGAGATCATCTCTCACTCTTCTCCCTCACCTGTCCCACCACACGGCACATAAAAGGTGCTCAGCAGACACTCATTTAATTACGGTGAATAATGTCCCATTAAGAGGAAAGGCAGGTTAACAATTTCTCATCGGCAAGCATGAAGTCTGGTCAAACCAGGGAAAGCAAGTCTTAGAGACCTGGGATCCACCTGGACTTCTCCTCTGAGCACACGTTCCGCATATTTTTCCTTTTATTTAGAATAAGGGAACAATTATGCCCAGTGCAGTCTGTCTTACTGGCTTGTGACAATGATAGGTTGTCAGGTGAGGTAAGAGTCTCAAGGGAAAGAGCTGATTATACCCCAGAGGGGGTCATTTTGATCCTTATTCTTCTCTCCTCCTCAAGACAGCAAAGGGAAGAGTACCTACCGAGCACGATGCCTGCCCAAGAGGAAACACTCGACCAACAGCAATTCCTTTCTCTTTTTTCTATCTGTTCTTGCTCGTTCCCACATTGCTTTTTCTTTAAGATTATTTTCCCCCTTACTTCTAAAGCTAAAACTCAACATAATTAGCCAGGTGTGTATTTTTAAAACGCTGGCCTTATCATGATCTCACAGTTCGTGAATTCGAGCCCTGCGTCGGGCTCTGTGCTGACAGCTCGGAGCTTGGAGCCTGCTTGAGATTCTGTGTCTCCCTTTCTCTCTGCCCCTAACCCACTCACATTCTGTCTCTCTCTCTCTCTCTCTCTCTCTCTCTCTCTCTCAAAAATAAATAAAGCTGCAAAAAATTTTTTTAATGTTGACCTTATTTTCCACACTTGTAAAAGCTAAGGTCTATGTTAGTTATGGAATAGAGTAACCTCCTATCTACGCAAGAAAAAAATGCTGATGATAACTCACTTACATTTTGATATTTTAATGATGCGTTTCTAGGCCAACCAAATCCAAGTTTTGACAAACTATGAGGTATTTTTCTTTCAAGGTGACATTTAGCTTAACTTTTTCATACCAAACCATGGGAAACAAACCATAACAAGTTACTTACGAAGCAGAAGACTCAAATTTATACCCGCTTTGTCAGTAAAGTACATGTTAGACTGTGTTAGTCTCATTAAGGACTAACTTCCTAGGTGCAGAGGTGATCTATGCACAAGTCGTTTTTGCTCTGAATGTGTGAGACTTTGCAGCGAGATATAGTATGATTAAATACTAACAAGCTTTAATACCACCTCTTGTCCTATTCCTGGAGGGGTTAAAGGTTACAAATTCTTGTCATTTCACTATTCCAAACAGGCAGGCACTGGTGGCAAAGAAAGGACGCAATTGTTCTGGAAGTCTGTGGGTCTCCAAAGAAACCCAGCTTCTGTCAACTAGTCAAAGGGAAAGTCTCTCCAAAAACCAGCAACACCGGCACTGGTCAGAACGTTCTGCACTGCCTCAGGCATGGCCATTGGGCCCCCTCAATCCCAAGGGCCAGGAAGTTACCCGATTCCACCCTAGCATTCAGATGGGGCTGCCGAGGTCCCAACAGCCCTCCAGCCTTTTAGGAATGGATCGCTAAAACCAATCACATTGTTACTTTCAAACATTTCAGGTCAAGGTGCCTACATTCAAACTATGTGTTCTGACCAAGTCGCATCGACTTCGAGTCTGAAATAATTTATGGGACACTCTGGTGATGGACGAAAATGCACTCTTTATCGGGTAAAACACATTCTGAGAGCCTGTGGTCCAAGGGAGGCTGTACTTGAACTTCTACCAGCACTGAGGGCTTCGAGCAGTCAGAACACAAAGGGGAGAGACTTTGTGGAGCCCATGGCCTCACACCCTACTGCATGCCTCATGGTGGAAATGAGCAACTATACAAGAAAAGTAGAAAATGAAGGGGGTCAGAATGTGCTACTCAATACGGCACGTTAGCATGCGGACTATTTTGAGCTGAAGGCGATTAAAAGACACCAGAGTACCTCCAGGCTCTCGTCCTTTCTGCCTAAGAAAAGCAGGCCATAAGTCTCCTTCTGTGAAGGTGTCCCCCCTCCTCTCTCCCCCATACCAGGAGGAAGAGAACAACCCTTATCACAGGGAATGGACAGTCAGCACCAGCTTGAATCTGCATAAACAAAGCTTGCCGAAATCATCTTTATCTTCCAATAATTTATCCTGAAATATTTAGCTCCCCACAATGTATCCTCCCTAGAAGCCCAACCCCCCCGGCCTTTAGCTAGCCACTTCTCTACAGTTTATCAGCCTTTGGTCAAATGGTACAGGGGCTCTCACATCTGGCCAACTCCTTTGGGGTTTCATTTCTCTTACGCGAAGCTTCTGTGTGCATGTGAAATAAACCTTTTCTCCTGTCAATCTGCCTTCTTCTTCCTCTTCTTCTTTTTAGTTTAATTCAAAGGCCCCAACTACAAATGGAAGAGGGTAGGGGCACCTGAGTGGGTCAGTCGGTTAAGCATCAGATTCTTGATTTCAGCTTAGGTCATGATCTCAGAGATGTAAGATCGAGCCCAATGGGTCAGGAGATGGAGCCTGGCATGGAGCTCTGCACTGGGCACAGAGCCTGCTTGTGATTCTCTCTCTCTTTCTCTCTCTCTCCCCCTTTGCCCCTCCCCTGCTTGTGCTCTCTGTCTCAAAACTAAATCAAAGAGGGGAGAGGGAAGGAAGGAAGGAGAAAGAGAAGAAGGGAGGGCGGGAAGGAGAAGAGGGGAAAGGAGGGAGGAAAGGTTGGCAATGAAATAAATGTTCATTTTCTCCTAATCATCAAAAAATGAAATCGCTACCTGGGGCACTCGGGTGACTCAGCGAGTTAAGCGTCTATTGACTTCATCTCAGGTCATGATCTCACGGTTCATGAGTTCGAGCCCCGCATCAGGCTCTCTGCTGTCAGCACAGAACCCGCTTTGGATCCTCTGTCTCCCTCTCCCTATGCCCCTCGCTCTCTCTCTCTCTCTCTCTCTCTCTCTCTCAAAATAAGTAAAAAAACTTAAAAAAAAAAAAAAAAAAAGGAAAGCCTAGAGAGTAAAGAAAAAGACCTTACCATAAAATAACCATACACCGTCCAAATCACACATGCAGGTGAGAACCACAGCACAGCACTCAAGACATGTGGTTTTCACACCGTTTCTCAGCCATTTGCTTCATTTGTTTCCCTGTAAACTCCCAGTAAGGATGCTACCAAAAGGGTGGGTAGGCGGGTATTAAAAGTTGCATCGGAAGCTTTTCGCAGCAATGGGCATGTTCGTTATGCGGATTGCGGTGAGGGTGTCAGCTTTACGTGATTAGAAAACGCAAAAATAGTTTACACATGTCTCAAAGACGATCACGTGGAGCCCTTTAAATATACCCAATCGATTGTACAATATACCGCAATTAAGTTCTAAAACATGTATTGACAACCCGCCCCCCACCAAAATCCCACTGAGGTAGATAAAAGTTCTTATCTACCCTCCGCTACTACCGCTGTGGGCTCCGACACAGAATGAGCCACAATCTGTGAGTTTTCTTGCTTCGTTTTCAGCGGCAAATCCATTGGGAAGGCTTTTGAATTATAAGGTGATTTCCAGTTTATTAAAAATTTTCATTTCTTTCTTTAAAAAGTTGAAGAATTTCACAAAATGTTGATACGTACTAACATTGTGTCGAGCAGATTGGTGTCCTTAAAGTAGACTTGACGGAATTTAAATACACTTTCCAACAACAGCAAAAAGCCACAGCCGCGGCAGTGGAAAGGGGATTGTCCTTTTAGGTGATTTCAATAGCCTTGGAAAAGGGTGAAATTGAGTTTCCTTCTTAAAGCAGCATAAATAAAAGGAAACAGTTAAGAATTAGGAAGGTTAGAGTCAAGAAATCAAGAAATAGGATTTGCCAAAATGAACCATCAATGTACTGGCAAGGTATCTGGATGGAAGGAATGGTAAACTAGAAAAGAAAAGGTCCCTCCATGAAGATGTGAAACCACAATCCCTGTGACTCAGACTATCTGGAAGTCAAGCAGACAAATGGTCCTTGTCAACCAGGGCCGCTATAGGTGTTTAAAAAAAATTTTTTTTTAATGTTTTTATTTCTTTTTGAGACAGAGAGAGACAAAGCGTGAGCAGGGGAGGAGCAGAGAGAGGGGGAGACACAGAATCGGAAACAGGCTCCAGGCTCTGAGCCATCAGCCCAGAGCTCGACGCGGGGCTCGAACTCACGGACTGTGAGATCGTGACCTGAGCTGAAGTCGGCCGCCCAACTGACTGAGCCCCCCAGACACCCCAGGTGTTTTTTTTTTGTTGTTGTTGTTGTTTTTTTAATTTTTTTTCAACGTTTATTTTTA